AGGTTGGAAACATAATGATCGAATCTTCTGTTTGGTGTTTATAAATTTACATTAATGTCTCTAATTGTTCTGAACCAATATCAATATCTTACATGTCCATTGATGTTACCGTATCTTTATGATAGTGATAAATCTTCATTATGATATAACATTTCTTGGGGCCACACTTAGAGAGAGAAAAAAAAAAAAAAAATCTCTACATAAATTTTTTGCATCTTTCCATTCATTGGATTTTTAACATCAAGTGTTTTTGCCCTTGGAATTATTAGCATCTAGTTTTGATTTCTTCCTTGAAGCAATATTCCTCCATTATATGCTTTTCCTGTATGATTTATTTGTGCCTCAATCCCTTATGTTTGGGTATTGATCTCTGCTGACTTCAGAGACATACTTGATCTTTTTGTCTGTCAACTTGATCAACTAGTATCAGATTCGAAGTTGACCTGTTCTAAACTGATAGCACCTTCAGCTGAACTTTTTGCTCATTCCATTATATTCTCATTGTTGCTTTGTGAGATTTTCCTCTGGAAAATGAAATCTAGGGCTTCTTTACCAATTGTGTTAATAAACCTATATTTTGAGATCGAAACTTTGCTTCTAATTTCAGCATATTGGTTCTATTTCTGGAAGTTGTTTAATTCTTTCAGAAAGAAAGGGGAGATTACTTGATGAAACTTCTTTCTAAATTAATTTCTGAAAATTGTTTGTCAAAAAGTTTTTTGAAAACTTCATTTCCTTTCCAGTTTGAAATTCTTCAAAAGAAAGACTAATATAGTGAAACAGCATGTTCTTAAACTCCATGTCATTCCAATATTTCTTGAATTCTCTTACTATTTTCCGTTTTTGAATTTTTGGCAGATAAAGGCCATTTATATTCGAGCCTTGTCAAAGGATATAGAATTTTAAACATTGTTCCCTACATACATTTTAAATTTGATTTCTCCTTCCTCATGTTAAATCCTATGAGTTCAACAATAGATACACTACCTATGAGCTTTTGATTACATATATACGTTATTATAATAATAATCTATTGCTCAAAATATTGATTTATTTTCAATTATTTGCAGGTAATGAGTCCCTCAATGGCACTGAAGGGACAAATTCAATTAAAGTTGTGAATGGAGGTCTGCTGTCAAATGCTATCTACACAGTTTTTAAAGACACGTTTGATAGAATCTAATTCATTTAGAAATTTTCTTTTGGCAGTGGCAGTTGTACAATGAAGAACAAGCACTTTAGTTGAGAGGTTTGAAAGGAGAGAGATGGAGATTAAATAGCGATGAAGTTCAGGCACCTGATACAACCCCTCAAATAATACATGAGATGGCTAAAATATCCCCCATGTTGGTATGGTTTTCCCTTCTAAAATAGTTATCTTCCATGGCTATTATGCATAGATAAATTGATATGTAATTTGGTTTCAATTTATATGACCTCTCACTCACACAGGATATTTTGAATTAGTAGACTACATTATTTTGTTATATGCAGATCCTAATAGTCCAAATCCAGCTACCTTCATTTCTGTCGTGTCTAGTTGCCGTCAATTATCACCATAAAGAACTGGTCACTAAACCATAATTATTACAAGATATCAACAAAATCAACCTTTAATGAAATATTTATACATTTTCTAACAAATACCGTTCTCTTTCTCTCATCCTTTTGTTGGACCCGAACCTCCATCAACCATGAAAGCACCGCCATTCCCTTTGCAACCCCCTCTGTTACAGATAACCGCAACCTCACACTAGTTCCCTCACCCAAGACAAACCAACACTAGCTTTCATATCTACCATTCATAGCTCTAATCAATCAACTCCATTGCAAAATATTTAATCAATCCTCAACTTACTCACATATCTGTAGATATAATGAAACCATAGGCTGCAACTCAAATGAACTAAGCCTTTCTCCCAATTACTTGGGATTGGCATGGATCCTATTAAGCCATTTCACCCAAGTTATACATTAAAAGGATTTACTGCGTAAAGATAAAACAATATTGATAGATAAATTGGCCAATGTTAATGGCCAGTTTAATGAGAATGGTGTTCTATTCTGCACTATTTAAAACAAAACCTTGTATTTCAGATTTTTTTTATTTATTTCAGGGTTTTTCTCTTATATAATGCAGACATATTCTTAGATTTTGTCAAGTAGTCTTTTGAATATTTATCATGCTACTTGGAAACTTACAGAATGGACATCCACAAATTACTGAAAGGGAGTTGACATCTGCAAATGATGGTAATGTTGCTGAAGATGTGATGCAGAATCATGATTCATGATGTATTCTTAAGTACCCTTCGGTCTCACTTGACAGAATTTCAGGTCTGTGGATCTCATTTATTACTATTTTGGCATTATTGCTGATTGCTGAAATTATCTCATCTATTAAGCAGTTTTCCTGCATGGAAAATTACTGGATATTTGTAATAATTGACAAACTTTTGCCTCTGATTTCCCGTTTTGAAGAAAATTGCTATTATCTCTTGTGTGAATTGCATTCAAGCATCTTGTTTTATGTAAGGATGCAGATAATATAAAATTCTAATGAATGTAGATGGTGCGCCATTTTTGGGAACGAAATAATATCAAGGGTGCTATAGATGCTACGAGGAAGTTGCCTGATCATTCTGTGGGTATTTTTTGGAGGATTTCAAGCGTGTTGCTTGTTCGTTTCAAATGGTTCCTATTGGTAACCAATTTCTTCCTTGTTTAATTTTATGAAGATTGTATGTGGTGTAGGTACAAGTAGACCTGATCAGTATTCTCATGAAGAAAATGGAGATTCTCACCTTAGGTTTGCACTAAACATGGGGGGCTAATTTGAAGAAAATTCAAACTGTTGACAGTATATGACTGAGATTTGGAAAGTTGTAGGGTTAAATCTCCAAAGGAGATAAACTAGAATTTTTATGGTCTTTAATTTGGCATTGTAATTCAAATTTGAGCCAATCTGTATTCTTTTATATTAATTATTAGTTAATTCACAATCTCTATTTCTAGTTAAATTAATATAAATTCTTAGTTCATTTTCAATTTCTATACCTAATGAAATTCTCAATTAATTGGGCTGTGTTCTTTAAAAAAAAAATGACTTTTTTGAAAAAAATGCCACTAAATGATGTCATCATGACATCACATCTGACACAAGTATTAAAAATGAAGAAAGGCGGCATTTTTCAAAAAAACGTCGCTAAATGACGTCATCATTACATCATTAACGGAAAAGTAAGTGGCTGTCAAAGATTTTGCAACGTTTTAAAAAACACCGTCTAATGTTTTTAGCGATGTTTTGGAAACGCTGTTAAGCTATTGCGGCGGCCGTATCTACGACGAAAATATTAAACGCCGTAAAATCCTATTGTGGCGATTTTCAAGCCTATAGCGGCGTTTTTGAAACTCTGCCAAAAGTCAAATTTCTTGCAGTGTGTGTATGACTCAAAAAGGATCGCTAGGGAGTCTAACTCCTACCCATTTCTATGATGAAATAGTGATGTCTGCTACGTTTTTAGGTTAAGTAATACTTTTAATGATTCTTATATGTAGGTATACCTAGTGGAGTATGGCAGGATACTCTTCATAAGAATCACCTATATGAGTGTGAACTGGGCCAGTTCTATGAGATTTGTGACGGGCTACAATTCTCTAGAGCACTCATGAAAGACCAGGTTGTTCAAGGCCAAAATGAACACAATAGTGAGAACTAAACTGTGTCTGGGGATATACTGTGTGAGTTCTATTGTCTTGGTTTACACAAACGGCTGAACAGTTCAAGACATCATGTTCACTGGTTAGCTAGTAAATCCGATAGTATCTCATAAGGGAAGGTTCAAAGCCAAAAGCTACCTATCCTTTGCAGAATATTTCTAATTTCTGTACTCTCTGTAATTAGATCATGTTGTTGCATTTTCTCTCTGTCAAATTCCATTTATGTGGGGAATTGTTGGAAAAATTGGTTTATAAAGGCTTATTGTGAGCCATCTTTGAGCCCAAAATTGAGTGGGCCCCGAACATCTTTTGGGGTGGGTCCGAAGAGGTGATGTGTTCCTTGCCGTGTGGCAAGTCACACGGTGAAAACGGTTCGTTAAAACCATTTATGAGTGAATAGGAAGTTGACGTCGTTTTCGAGTTCGTGAAATAGGAAATTTAAGGAAGTAAATATGGGTTTCCTTGAAATGGGTTGTCCCACATTGAAACTTTAAGAGAGCTTTGTTGTGTATATAAGCTCTAGACTACAACACTTGGGTTGTGCCCCAAGGGGTACCCCAAGTTTGTAGAATGGAAGAGTTATGGACAAAGTGAACCTTAGCCTAAACCACCACACGCGAACGCCGCCGTCTGTCCGTCCGGCCGAGCCGTGCTGAGTGTGGGTTGTGGGTTGGTTCTAATATTAATTTTTTATACAAAATTTATTTGAATTTTTAATGAAATAAAATTCAAATTTTGAGCCAAAAAATTGAATTGATTTTCTGTCCATTTCCAATCCAAAATCCAAACAGATTAAACAGTCCAAAACTGTTTGAACTTTCGGGCAGATTCATTTCTAAACTGCCCGGCAGCTACAGGTTCAAGTCTGGACAGTTTCCAAACTGCCAATCTGTTGAAATAGTTGCAGAACTGTTTGAATTTTGAATCAAATCTGTTAAAAACAGTATCACACCTGTTCATTTCCTCAAAGCACCTGTTCGGGTCAGATTTATTGTCTATAAATAGAGCCATGATTCCAGTAGTCTAGGTAACTGGAAAAAACAGTCTGCAATTTATGCTTTTGCTGTCCAAATTTTATTTAGTGCATTATTCTTCATTCTAGTTTTAGGAAAAATCAAAGAGAGTATAGAACACAAGTTCGGTTCGCCGTACAAATTTGTTTGGAGTGCTATTACAAATTTGTGAAGATCATTGTATCCTGGGAGATAGACGCCACTCAATCGTAAGCACCGTAGCGGAACGAATTTGTCTTAAGGATAGAGTGTCACACACTCGACTTGGTCTTTTATTTTTCATTTGGTTCGACAAAATAAATTCTGTAAGTTTTTATTTTATTTTGTTTAATTTAGTTTCAATTTATTTTATTTACACAGAAGATTGTTCTAAAAGTTTCTTCCATTCCTGGCCCTGGCTCCCATTCGGGTACCAGCGAAGCAATCTCTCCATCAATCATATCAGCTATTTTAGTCACATCTTGATTGGTCATATCCAGCTCTGCAACCATTTCAGTCGCAACACTTAATGCTGTATCGGTTTCAATGTCAAATGAGAAATAGATGTTTCGGATGCGTCCTGCAAAGAGAGAAACAATAATGCTGATTTTTTGCTCCCACTTTCAAGTGAAGAACTATCAAAATGACACAAAACATGATGTTTATTTTTTTTACCTTCTTTGTCTGAAATTCTGAGTCTTAAAAAGATGCTACCATCTTCTCTTCTCTTCCCTTTGATGGTTATATCAACATTAACAGGATGCTCATCATGTTCATCGTCATTGTATTCAAATAGTTCCATTCCACTTTGTTTGATGTCAGTTGAATGGAACTCCCATCCATTTTGGGCTTCCAAGTTGACAACACCATTGGAGTAGCCGTTGAAGAAGCTGTTACTAAATGACTTTCCTTCATAATCAAGTTCAAGATAAGGATGCCTTAACAAAGGGTTCATGTAGTCTGTTTCTCTCCGGCACTCTATCGATTTTAAATCCGATTCACAATCATCAGTTTGGAGAAAAGGGTCATTCAAAAGCTCCCTCGCGGAGAGCCTTTGTGACACGGTGGCCAAGCATTTCTCAACAAATTGCCTCACCTCTGGATCTTTCACTTTGTAGAAGGCATCGGGTTTTTTCACCTAAAGCAATAAAGCATGTCAATTGAGAGAGAGTGAGAGAGAGAGAGGGAGGGAGGGGTACTTACAGAGATAACTTTCTTGTAGATCTGAGCAGGATGAGTGCATTCACTATAGGGATATTCAAAGGTGATCATTTCCAAGATGCACATCCCAAAAGAATAAATATCAACCAATTCATTGTACTCCTCAGCATATACTTCTGGAGCCATGAACTCTGGTGTCCCTAATTAACGTCAAAAAATAGATAAAAACTAACTCAATGATTTCCCTTAATTGTGTCAATTATCCAATCACTCACGCAGAAAGTTACAAATCATCACAAAAACTCATTTTACAACAGACAAAAAGGTCATCATTAGTATGCCCCAACAAATTTTCAGCTCTAATATGTGAGTTCTATTTTAGGGAATTGAATTAAACACACCAACACAGTGAGCAGCATGGGATTTTCGAAGAATCGCCGCAAGGCCAAGATCACCGATTTTCACTTCCCCTTGGTTGCCATTGATAAAAATGTTGTCACACTTGAGATCTCTGTGGATGACTGGTGGGTCATGGCTATGAAGATAGAGAAGACCTTTCAAGATCTGTCTGCACCAATGCTTCACTGCTCTAATGTTGACTCGCTTGTGCTTTTGCCTATACCTACCCAAGCAGACAAAAAGGGAGACAACCCAGATTTCAAAACTATGAAATCTCCAATTGGGTATAATCAAAAGAGGAAACAAGGAAAAGATCAAGAAATCATGAAAAGTTTCATGGTACTTACTGTTTTAGAGTCCCAGAAGTGAACATTTCAGTGACAAAATTGATGTTCCTGTTTGCAGTATCAACCCAAGAAGTGTAAAACTTCATAATGTTGTGGTGTTTCAATGTCTTGAGCAAATGAATTTCACAGTAGAGCCTCTCAAGATCTTCAGGGCTTTGCAGGAAATCATAGAGTTTGACCTGGTTCCAAGCAACTTCAATCCCCTCATACTCATCAAATGCTCTATAACTGCATCAATCAACAACGTATGAAAACACATCAGAATGTTAAATCTATCATATACACCACTTGCAACTTACTTCTAAAGACCCCAAAGATCCAAATTTTAAAAGAAACCTGAAACAGGAACTTTCACACATCTTCAAAAGCCCCAGAAACTTTCAAGTTGTGGAGACATGTAAAATGGGCATTTGACAAATCCATATCAAATACCCATCAAGGAAGACCAGAAAAACTTCAAATTTGGAAGAAATCGAAAAATGGGTATGCTGTAAAATAGAAGAAGATAAGTTCTAAATTTACATACACAGTCTTTGAAGAGCCTTTGCCAAGGATTTCATTGTACTGCAACCAAAAACGATAGAAACAAAAACTCAGAACTCAAAATTCCAAGCAGAAACAAGAGAGAGAGAGAGAGAGAGAGAGAGAGAGAGTACTCTGCCATATCTTCCAGAGGGATCAAGTTCAACAAACTCAGAGTAACCTGGTTGAAGATGAGTAAGACCACTCATACTATTCCTCTAAAATCTATCTATCTTGATCTATCTATCTATCTATTCTATGTTGTTATAAATAAGGTTTCCTTTTTTTCGCTCTTACGAGTTTTGTAGTTTTTTTTTTTGACTAACAGAAAGAGAGGTCATGAAATTGACCATGTAGGTGTGCGTGCGTGTGCCCCCAAATTATGTACTCATTTAATAAGAGAGTGGATTACCTTTGCCACCACGTGGTTAAAGACTATTTATTTTTTCCTTTGTCCTTACTTTAAAATTTGACACATAGATTACGGAATGATTACATAGAAATTGTTAACCAAAGATAAAATTACCTTAAATAAAAAGAAGATAAAATTATTTGATTGTATTTGACTTAATTTTTTTTAATAAAAACGATTTGGAATATAATTGATAGAGTAGTGTTAGATATTGGGGTAAGTAGGTTAAAATTGTTAGAATTAAAATAAAGTATGAAATTATATTATAAAAATAGTTGATTTTAAAATAGAAGCATTGAGGGCAAAAATTCAAAAAAATTGAGCTCGTTGCCATCCACAAGAAATTAATGGGTTTCAATCTCTCCACTTATGAGTTAGAGCTTTTTTGGCGTTGTCACATCCTAAAACTGGACATGATCAGCTGTGGCCCACATGGCCTTAGCCCAAGACACATGAAGCTTAAACACAAATCCATAATCGTATAGAATAAATGTAACAATAATCCTGTAATAAATAAATCAAAACTCAATCCAGTAACATGTTATAAGTATAAACGGGCAAAACCAACCCTAATCAATACCATCCAAGCCATTGGGACACAAACAACCTATATAGCAAAATAATCCTAAATGAATCTCAATAAAAAAATATGCATAAAATTGACATAACAATCTAAAAAAAAAATAAAAATGAATGTGCTAGATGTTCATAAAATCGAGTCTTTACTAAGCCATGAGTCCATTCTAAGTTTTTTTCTCACCTGAAAATATTAAACCACTAAGTCAGCTGATAAGGGACATAATAAGAAATTAGAACATAGTGCATACAGTTTTGATAAAAACAATCTGATTCAAAAAAAAGATTTCACAATTCATCAGTTAAAAATATTGATATCTCTCAAGAACATAATAAGGGACATTCTCCACTTAAAAATATACAATAGCATAATCATCATCATTATTTAGGTACCAAGCATAACAAGTAATATGTCACAAAGTTCTCGAGGCAATAAGCCTGTTGGATCCAATATCGAATCAAGAGTCATCATCGAGGTGGCAACTTGAGTATTTTTTCTAAGACGATTTGAGTGAAGGTTACCTAACTTAGTCTAGCTTAGCCTAGCCTAGTCCATGTTTGTTCCTTACAATCGTTGAGCACTAGAGTCATCACAACCTACCCCGAATCTGTTCCCTAGTGGCCAGAGTCACAACATATAGTAAAATAAATTCTCTGGACTTCTATATATATGGTCCCAATAATTAATATAATTTAGTTTCGCAAAACGTGATAGTCACTATTACAAACATGAGATCATTTCAAATAGTTTCCCGCATGCCAAATTTACACATTTTTCAGAAAATAATTTAGTTCCATTGATAGTATAATAATTTTATCAAAACAATTTAATCCTGAAAGAACAATTTAATTTTCTAATAGTTCAAGATAAGAGAACATTTATAAAAATATGTAGCATGCATATACTCACCTGACAACGACACAATATAATCCTCGAATAGAATACCGAAAGCCCAACTAATGCCATGGATTAATTTTGAAAATTACATGTCACTACTAATTCAAAAGTACTAAAAGGAATAATAAACTATGTAACCCCAAGCTAAAGTGCACTAATACGGCTCTACCTAACTTACAATTACTCTTAAATAATACATAAATTCATGTTTTTCAATATCCAAAATTAACCAAGACATGGGTTTCGGGCTAAATTTAATTAAATGCTAGTTTCAGATAAAACATAATTTTAAATAGATTTTCTCCACCTATTCACTAACCTTAAAAATTAAAAACCTACTTTACATTGATCGAAAAATTCTGAAACCCTCTAAATATCAACTCCCATATCCTAAGTTTCAAACCCAATTAATTTTACTTGATTTGCTTATCATAAGAATTATTTGATATTAATTATATCTATACAAGTCACTTTCTACAACAGTTTAAAGAAAATGATGGTTCTCTTAACATATATGAGAAAACGACACAAGGCAAAAAACATAAGAAACTAGACTCATAGGGATTTGAGGTGGCTGCTGTGCGGGGGTGCACAGCAGCCACTATTGTGTAATGGGCCTATTTCGGGGTCCATTTCAATAATTCGAACCATTCACCTTTTAGAATACATCAAGTAAAATATACTTGTAAAAAATCAAGTTAATCGGATATTGTTTACCCATTCATCTACTCACATTTGTATCTATAAAAATAAATAACAATTGTGATTTAAAATATTAAAACGAATACAAATACGAGTGAATGAAAGGGTAAACGATATCCGATTAACTTAATTTTATGCAAGTATGTTTTACTTGATGTATTCTAAAATATGAACGGTTTGGATTATCGAAATGGACCCCGAAATGGACCCATTGAGTTATACAACAGTGACTACTATGCACCCCGCACAGCAGCCATCCCAAATACCTCATAGACGATTCCAATGGCGCTAATTTGGTAGTTTCTAGATTTGTACCCTTAGAAAACGACCCTTACTATTTTGTACTAGTTTTCTGGACAAATTTGAATGCATCAATTTATATAGATTTTGACTCTCAAAAATTATGAAAAAATTAAGTATGAAATTCAATATGTAAGTAAGCTACCGTAAAAAAATTCAGTTCAAAATTCATCCGTTTTATATGATTTCTTAATTTTTAAAATTTGCAATTTTGTGTAGAATTTTTAAACTAAAAATTATACCCAATCGTTATACACGATTAGCTCTTTAGATTTCTTAACAATATATATGTACAAAATACATATAACTACCACCTCTCCATCAATGAATTAAAGAATAATAGAATAAGGATAAAAATAAAATAAAAATAAAAAAACAAAAGCAAAAGGAAAAAGAATGCTTGAGAGCGCACCCAAATTTTTTTCTTTGTTACAACCTCTCTTTTCTCTTCTTTCTCTCAAACCCACTCTCAGGCTGCTGCTATGGTATTGTTAGAAAAACTAGGGTTGCTTTATATATCTAAACCTAAAAGACTCTAAATAGTTTTTTGTTTTTATTTTATAATAGCTTGCCTTATGAATCTAAATTAAATAACATTATTTGATCAATTATACTTACTATTTTTTTTTATACATATATCCGTAATCATTAATTATTTAGAGTTTAAACTTGATTAAAATATCTTCCAATAATATTTAATTTGCACTTAAAGATTCATAGCAAAATATTTGAGATTTGTAATATTATTCTAATTTATTTATTTATTTTTATATTTGGGTTCTCACATTCATGTGCTAAAATAGCAGATGTTATCTTAGTACATTATCTTATTTGAGTCACATCACCTCTCTACCACATCACTTCAACTCTAACTCAAATTTCACATTTTTTTTTCCATAAAAACTCAAAAAGTATATTAATCTAACACGTTTTAAACAATCCCTAAGTCTTTATATATATATATATATATATATTTGTTTTTGTATGGTTATGATTTCTCTCTACTTAAAATTTTTTTTTCTTCATAATTTATTGTGATTATCGTAATATCATATATGTATATATATGTACATATAAATAATTTAATCAAAATTTATAAGGGTGAAACACTGGTAAATTCAAAATATATATGTTTATGCATTATTGGTAAAGACAAGAAATAAAACGGATGTAAAAGAAGACAGTGATGGGTACCAAATCAAAGGGAATTTTGAAATTACGGTCATGACTGTTGAGTTAGAAACCATTATAGTAATACAACTTTGAAAAATCCTTTAAAAAACTCTTAAATAAATTTTTCATTACAGTTATTCATTTTGTTCACATATAGGGAACGATGACACTGGCGATGGATTTTTGATCTTAGTGGCATTCTCGGCCATGATTTGGCCGGTGGCGGTGGTTGTTGGCAGTTTTTCAGCGACTCTGATGCTAAAGAGAGCTTTTTTGATGAGTCACCAAATTGAATCGAACAAACTCAGAGAGCAAGACAGGGTGAGGCATCGTCGAATATTGTAAGTAACAACTTAATAAGAAACAATGATATTGATGATCATGGTGAGTTTAAGTGGGATAGATTAACATTTTGAAGTGAAGAAGAAAATGAAGAGAAAATAATTGAAACTTGGAGAAGAAGATGAAGATAGTTGAATATAAAGAATATGTATAAGTGGTTTGAGTTTACTATGAGAATTTTTTATTTTATTTTCGAGTTCAATGTGTATTGTCCTTATTAATAAATTTATATTAGGGTATAATAAGAACTAAAATTTCGAAATTTTAATTGAGCATACTGAGTTATTATTTGGGTGTAAATAGAATCACTCTATAAATGATGATCGTGATGACATTGCTCATTCACATCTATATTATTGTATTAAGTGAAAGTTAGACTTTGGTGTTCAAACTTTTACTTGATTCTCTTTATGTCACATGTCCCGCATTTTTTTATTTGAAAAAAAATAAAAAATAAAAAAATGAAAAGTGTGTCACTCAAACTTTGGATTATTACCACTAAATAATATACAATATATAATAAATATTTATTTTTATTTTTATTTATTTATTTAAATTACACGTGTGGAACTTGCTCGATAATGCAATTTTACTCTAAAAGAATCTACTCCGATTTTCGTAACCACAAGTTCAATTTCCATGAAAGGCGGACCACGGCATGGATCTACGACGTCAAGTCCAGTCGACCATTTAATTTTGAAAAAAAAATATATTTTAGTGAAACAGTAAAAAAATAATTTTAATTTTATGGTGGTATAAATTTCTTATATGTATATTTTTTTAGAAAGACAAATCTGTTGTATATATGGTAGAAGTTTATTCTTGTACTTGATACAAGTCTTTCTTGTAAAGTTG